ATGCCATCAGGAGGTCCACCAGCGGGGTCAGGATACCAGAAGCCCTCCCACTTACCCCCCCCCAGCCCCAAGAAGAGAGAGCACCACTGTCCCAGACATAAGAACATAAGAGAAGCCCTTTTGGATCAGGCTGGTGGCCCATCCAGTCCAACACTCTGTGACACCCAGGGGCCATGAGGAGGTCCACCAGCAGGGCCAGAACCCCAGAAGTACTCCCACTGTTGCCCACCAAGAAGAGAGAGCATCACTGCCTCAGACATGAGAACATAAGAGAAGCCATGTTGGATCAGGCCAATGGCCCATCCAGTCCAACACCCTGTGTCCCACAGTGGCCAAAACCCAGGGGCCCTTGGGAGGTCCACCAACGGGGCCAGAACTCCAGAAGGCCTCCCACCAGTGCATCACTGCCCCAGACATAAGAACATAAAGAGAAGCCATGTTGGATCAGGCCAATAGCCCATCCGGACCAACACCCTGTGTCACACAGTGGCCAAAACCCAGGTGCCGTCAGGAGGTCCACTAGCAGGGCCAGCAGCACCACACAAGAGTCTCTCCTTCCATATTTTTAATGGCAAGTTTCTAGATCTCCTGGTTGCCAAGAGAAGGTAGAAAGGATCCCAGGCAATGTTCCCTCTAAGTGGTAGAATCTTGTGAGCAGAAATTCTACTTTGTGAGCTACTGGCATTAAAGTTGTGAGCGAGCGAGCGATTTGGCTACTGCATAAATTAGTTTGCTCTGGAGCCATCCTTCATGAGCTAAGACAAAAATGTGTGAGCCGGAGGCTAAAAAACTGTGAGCTAGCTCACACTAACTCAGCTTAGAGGGAACACTGATCCCAGGCGGTGCCTGATGGTTCTTTGGAAGCCAGGACTCGGAGGGAGTCGATGGGGAGCAACGGCTCACGATTCTCGCATTGTGCCTTGGCACGCTTCCTGATCTTGCCACATAAATTCTGCAGTCGTCCTCAGTTTGTATAATCGGTTCCAGTCGCAGAACCAGGTGCAGAATGCAAGTTGCAGAGGGGCCCAAGCCAAATTGGATGCTGCTGTCGCCTCGCAGTGTCCCTTAGGTAGGGGAACCGGTAATGGGACAGATGCTCTTGGGAGCCACTGGGAGCTGCACTCGCAGCAGGGCATCCAATTCTGTGGGTTCCTAGTTTGAATCCCCAGTACCTCTTAACACCATTGATCAGTAGATTCCCCAAGTGCTGACTGGTGACATAACATGGTAGAATAACAAAAATGCACCGTGGAAAGCACAAAGTACTCAAGGTCAAATTGATCTGTGCTTTCCACAGTTTATTTTTGTCATTGTACCAAGTATCTCCCTGGTCCTGTTGTCTTTAGTGATGACGTAAGCTAGCCTGCAGCCTTCAAGGTGGGGGGTTCGAGTGATCCCCAAGAGCCTGAGGCCTTTGACTAAGATGTGTCTTAATCCGATCTTCTGGATCTGCCCCGTGTTTTGCCAGCGCCCCAAAGACTTTACCCCTTCCCCTAGTTCCTGTGTCTGACATCAGACACTTCAACTCCGCCCCCCCCAGGCGATAGCCAATGGACCGTCTTCTCCTCTGTGCCTTGGCAACAGGGGCCATCTTGCCACTGCCGTGGAGGAGGAGCCACTTCACTGGGGGTGGGAGGCATTTGCTGCCCTCAGGGTCCATCTCCGGAGGCCGGAGCACGTGCCCACCTAACACCAGCGTCCAGTTTGCCTTGTGGAAAACGGTGAGCGCAGTCCCCCAAGCGGGGAAAGGGGGCTGCTGGGCCGAGCCGCGGGTTCCCGCGATGTAAACCTTCTCAGTCTTAACGTGGTCTCTGACCGTCTTCGTACAAGCACAGTTTCCGATTTGCACTGTCTTATTGCACAAGGGCCTTCCTTCTCGGCTTCCCTCTGCGTAAATGTTGGCTCTTGGCTTCTTTTTGAGTTTAACCAGCTGCTACAACTTTGCGTCGTGATGCACAGAGATCGCCTCTAGAGGCTAAGGAGGCGAAGCAAAGACTGCTACATTGTAATGCACAGAAATCACCACTGGGGGGCAAGGAGGCGAAGCAAAGACATTGCGTTGTAATGTGCAGAAATCGCCACTAGGGGGCAAGGAGGCAAAGCAAAGATTGCTACACTTGGTGTTGTAATGGACAGAAATCACCAATAGAGACAAGGAGGCTAAGGAAAGACTGCTACACTTTGCATTGTAATGCACAGAAATCACCTCTAGAGGCAAGCGAGCTAAGGAAAGACTGCTACAATTTGCGTTGTAATGCACAGAAATCACCTCTAGAGGCAAGCGAGCTAAGGAAAGACTGCTACAATTTGCGTTGTAATGCACAGAAATCACCTCTAGAGGCAAGCGAGCTAAGGAAAGACTGCTACAATTTGCGTTGTAATGCACAGAAATCGCCACTAGGGGCAAGGAGGCTAAGCAGAACTCTCAGAAGGACCATCACCAGAATATAGACCTTATGCTCCTGGGGAGCTATTGAGAACACATACTGTGGGAGGCTTAGCCCTCCTGTTCATGTCAAAAGAGTTTCAGTGACTGGCTGGAGTTCTAGCTCAGGAGGCAGATGGCAATGCAGAATCCTCCAGAGTGTTTGAACCAGCCCTCTATGGACTATCCAAAACCCTCAGGTCTGCAGACAGTATGGGGAGTGGAGTTTACTTTTGTTCCTGTCTGCCATCCCACGGTCAAGTTTTGGGTGGCAGAGAGGATGCGAAACCTGTACGTTTCTGAGCCTTTCTGGAAAATGGATTTTGGCTCACAAGGACAGTTTGGAACTGGTTCTTAACTGGCGTGTGTGCCATTTTGTGAGTCTCTGTGGAGAGGCTCCGCAGAGGGCCAGGGGGTGGCATGTGTACAGAGAAAAATCTTGTGTAAATAATCTGTGATCTGTTCAGCAGCGGTGCTGTATGTATGTATTAAAAGGACTGATAAAGGCAAGTTTCGTACGGAAAGCGTGTGTGTTATTGTGTGCTCACGGCAACGTTTTCAGACATCGGTGGTTGGTTCGCACCTTACCGGGGCTTAGAAAAAACGGGCAGGGGGAGAAAGTAATTGTGAGCCCCCGACAAGATGAAGTCAACAGTTACAGTCAATAAAAAGGAAACCTGGAGTTTGTGTTCCTTCACGACCTTCTAAGACCTAAAGCCCACTTTGTTAGATGCTTGTGGTGGGTCCTTGCTAGGCAGATATTGAAGAGCCACTACAGGCAATCTGACAGAAGGGGCTCTATCCCACAGAAGCGAATGGTGGAATAAAAACTTGAGAACAAAGTTTGAGTCCAGTGGCGCCTTTAGGACCAACGAAGTTTTATTCAAGGTATAAGCTTTCGTGTGCAATCACACTTCTTCAGATACAGTGAAAAGCCATATCTGAAGAAGGGTGCTTGCACACAAAAGCTTATACCTTGAATAAAACTTTGTTGGTCTTAAAGGTGCCACGGGACTCAAACTTTGTCCTGCTTCAGACCAACACGGTGACCCACTGGAACAAAAACTTGTTAGTCTTCGGGGTGCCACAAGGCTCTGGTTTATTTTTGCCAAGACCGACTGACACAGCTGCTACCTTAGAGGGAAAAATCATAAGAACGTGAGAAGAGCCCTGCTGGATCAGACCAGTGGTCCATCTAGTCCAGCATCTCACCCAGTGGCCAACCAGTTCCTCTGGACGGCCAACCACAGGGCAGAGAGGCCAAGCCTTACCCTGATGTTGCCTCCTCCTGGCTCTGGGATTCAGAGAATTAGTGCCTCTCAATGTAGAGGTTCCCCTCAGTCACCGTGGCTAGTAACCACTCATAGACTTATCCTCCTTGAAACTATCTAATATCCTTTTTAAGCTGTCTATTCCTGTGGCCATCATTACATCACCTGGCAACGAATTCCACATTTTAAACACTCTCCATGAAAAGGACTTTCTTTTTGTCTATCCTGAGCCTACTGCCCATCAGCTTCATTGGATGCCCTCGAGTTCTAGTATTCTGGCAGAGGGAGAAAAAGTTCTCTTTGGGTGATTTCCCACAAGCGCCGCTCCGCGCTCACTCCTCCCTTTTGCCCTGATGGTACGTGTCAATTTCACACAGGCTGCTGCTCGGCCGCATTTTGCCCCGCAGCTTCATGCGATTTTCCCCGCGTCTACTCAATCCTCAAAAAACAGGATTGAGTAATTGCACGAAATTGCACGAAGCTGCGGGGCAAAATGCGGTCGCGCAGCAGCCTGTGTGAAATTGACACGTACCATCGGGCCAAAGAGAAGAGTGAGCACGGAGCAGCGCTTGTGGGACATCACCCTTTGTCAACCGCGTCTACTCAATCCTCAAAAAACAGGATTGAGTAATTGCACGAAATTGCACGAAGCTGCGGGGCAAAATGCGGTCGCGCAGCAGCCTGTGTGAAATTGACACGTACCATCGGGCCAAAGAGAAGAGTGAGCACGGAGCAGCGCTTGTGGGAAATCACCCTTTGTCAACTCTCCACCCCAGGCATAATTTTATAAACCTCTATCATATCCCCCCCCTCCCCAGTTGTCTCTTCTCTACCCCAGACTCAGCCTTTCCTGGCAGTTTTGGGACAGAAAGATAATTTTTGTCACCCTGCCTGCAGGATCGCATAGACCAGGGGTCCCCCACGTGGTGCCACAAGCTCAAAAAGGGTGGTCTGATCTCTGGGGGAGAGGATACGTGAAAAGATGGACCCTGCTTTGTGGAAGAGCTGGTGGATCATACCTGAAGATCCCAGGATTAATCCTTGGTGTTTCCAGTTAAAAGGATCTGGGTGTCGAGGGTGAGGGCTGGTGAAGGTTCTCACTTGAGACTCTGAAGAACTGTTGCCTGTTGGAGTTGGAGGTGGTCTGGCTTGAAATAAGCAAGTATTAAGAAAGTGCAGGACATGCCCGGACTTTGACGATTATTCAGAACCAAGCAGGCATTTAATGTTTGTTTGTTTTTTTAAAGAAAACCCGTGTGCCATCCTTCCTGTGAAATGGCCCAAGAAGCGATCCACAATCTGAAAGTTAAAGAGCTCATCCAATTAGAACGCCTAATGAAACCCAATATTTATCAGCGTAAAGAAATGTGCAAGTGCAATCCAATCGACGGTGAACGAGAACCGGGTCAACTATATCGAGTACGAGCGAGGGAAGTAAAAGGCCGGATTAGAACGGGCTTCAGAGAGGGGTAACAAATCCAGGGGCCCCAGAATCAAGGGTTCGGGCTATTTTTACCCCGCTTGGCTTTTGAGATTTTGCCATGTGCTCCATCCTATCAGACTGAGGGTGATATCGGCTAACTAGCCTGATAGGTCAGAGCAAACGGGCCAAATTGAAACACCAGCCCTGTATGTGATAACCGTGATAAAATGAAGCTCCCAGCGGACCCGTCCTACCGGCTGCGTGTCTCGAAAGCGTCCCCGTTTCTAATCGTTCTCACCCTCGCCCCCTTCCGACTCTCCTTCGTCCGGAGAGCCGGACAATCCGCAGAACGTGAAATAGTGGGAGTTGCAGTAGACGGGAGGCTTGTTGGGGTTGGAATAGGCCTGCTCCGGTTTGAGGGAGGCGAAGGGGTTGGCTCCGCAGCCCGTGATCCGCATCTCCAGCTCCATCGAGATCTTCAGGGAATACTTGAGTTCTTGCTCGCTGTGGGGACAGGAAGGGAAAGGGGTCGCTTAGAGCTCTGCAGAACGTAAAACAACAAAGACTGCTCTCCCCGCAGTGTGAACCCGCCTGTTCTCTGAGATTACCTGAAGAGGTTTCGCTCCAGGGAACCCAAATTGTGCAAATAAATTTGGTGGGGGCCAGCGGCCACCCCGATCTCTGGAACTCCCACCTGGAATTAGGTTTACCTCATCACTGCAGGCCTTCTGCGCTCGGCTGAAGAAGTTTTAATTTGGGGAGGCTCTTTTCAGTTGAATTCTGGTCCTGCTCATAAATTACGTCACCTCAGTTTCCTTAAGCAAGCAGTTAAAACCTGTCTACTTCAGCGAGTGTTTGACCTTTCGTTGTTTTAAGAAGCCCCGTATTATATATCTTTATTTCTGCTGCTGCAAATTTTTTAGATTATTAGACGAGATGTATGTTTTTAATATGGTGTTTGGTTCGTTGTGCCGCTGTCTGCGTTGAAAACTTGTTGAAAACTGGGTGCGTTTTCCAAAGACATGAGGCGTGCAATTCGATTTCCTTCCAGGGGTCATTTCCTGCAGGAGCGCACAGGAGCGGAGCTCTGGCAGTAAAGAGCCCAGGGGGCGGGCACATGCAACAAGCCCCACCCCCTGCTTCCAGCAGCCCTCAGTCAGAGCAAGAAGCAGCCAGGTAAGTTGCAGAGCTCCCCCCACCCCACCCCACCCCCCCGGGGTCCAAAACAGTCCATTGGCACCTTTAAGACCAAGTTTTATTCAGGTCCAAACTCTCCCTCCTCTGCGAGAACAGATCTGCACGTCCCCCCCGCAAATAGCTAGCAATCCAAAACAGTCCAGTGGAGCCTGAGCGGTGGGTGTCGTCTTCTGACACACTTCCGGTGATGCCAGGGGGTGTGGCATATGCAAATGAGTTATGCTAATGAGTTATGCTAATGAGCGCCTGCACCTCTTTTCCTACGAAATGACCCCTGCCTTTTACAAAACTGAATTTCAGGCCAGTTGGGTGGAATCGACCAGCACGGAAAGGACAGTGGCTTTACCTGTAAACGGTGAAGACCGAGGGGATGTTGTAGTCTCTGAGGAGCAGCAAGGTCGGCAGCCAGTTCTCCATTAGATCAGGGTAGGCGTGGAAACCTGCAGTGAACGAAAACAGATAATGGCTCATCCCCCACTCCCCCGCAAAGGCCGAATTGGGTTCAACTTTGCCTTGGAATGGGAGTGTGAACGGCTTTGCGTTTGTGCTCGAGGAGTGACAGAAACTTGCAGATCGGAAGGTGTTAGGGGTGCCAGGGTCTACCTGGCCGGTGTGGGGGGGTTCCCGGGTCCTTTCCGGGATGTTCCGCCACGTATGTGAAGGGATGACATCCCTTGGAAGAGATGTCATCGCGTCACCGTGGGGGGCGATGCTCTAGTTTTTGGGCAAAACGCCACCGTTTTTTCCTTCAGAATCATAGAGGTCGCCCAAAAACTGGAGCGTCACCACACCCCCAACCCCCCGACGTTGGCAACGCAATTATGTCATTTCTGGGTGTTGTCATTGCATCAGGGGTGTCCACGGTGACGTCCCTATTTAGGGGTGGGGTTTGCCCCGCAGGCCAGGTGGCCGGTGGCAGATTCGGGCCCCTAAAAGTGGGGAAGCGGCGCCTGGGGGGGGGGAACCCTCGAAAGTCCCCCCCCCCCCGGAATTAAGCAGTGGAATTCGCTACTGGCGCATGTAGAGGTGGCCACTAGCACACAGATAACTTTAAAAGAGGAGAAGAAGAAGAAGAAGAGGAAGGAGAAGAGGAGGAGATTGGATTTATACCGCGCCCTTCACTACCCAAAGGTGTCTCAGAGCGGCTTACAAACTCCTTTCCCTCCCCCTCCCCACAACAGACACCCCGTGAGGCGGGTGGGGCTGAGAGAGCTCTTGACAGAAACTGCTCTTTTTCAAGAACAGCTCTTATCAGACCTACGGCTTGCCCAAGGTCATCCAGCAGGTGCAAGTGGAGGAGTGGGGAATCAAACCCGGTTCTCCCAGATTTAGAGTCTGCGCACTTAACCACTACACCAAGAGAGAGCTCTTTCAAGGACTGCTCTTTCAAGAACAGCTGTGCCAGAACTATGGCTTGCCCAAGGTCATCCAGCAGGTGCAAGTGGTGGAGTGGGGAATCAAACCCGGTTCTCCCAGATTAGAGTCCGCCCACTTAACCACGACACCAAACCAGTGGATTTAACTTCGGCAGGGCTTAGATCCATGAACTCCGGCTAGCCGTAATGAATAAGGGGAAACGGTCCCATCCAGAGGCAGACCTTCTAAGCCTCCGAAGGCTGGTACTAGGAAGCAACTGTAGGGAAGGCCTCTATGCCTTGTTTGTTGCCCCTCCAGAGGAACCGGTTGGCGACTGTTTGAAACAGGATGCTGGACTAGATGGACCCCTGGTCTTGCTCCACCAGCATACCTCTTATGTTCCAGTTAGATTTGCGGCTGGTATTTGTCTCCCTCCGTAGCCAGTGGCTTGAACATGAGAAACTTTATTAAAGTCAAATCAGGGGTCCTTCTCTCTCACCGTTTCCTCACGGGTAGCCAAGACCGTCTTTCCCGTGACTAGCTATCTGAAATCTTTGAAGTGGGAACCTTTCTCGTGGTTCAGCCACTGAATTTTCGTGACCCCTCCTTGGCAAACCACCATCCCAGCTCATTCTGTATTGTCTCTTCTAATGTTTTTCCCAAGGTTTTGGGCAGACATCTTTCATGTCACCGGCCACCTAATCCTTCAGCTGGCGATGCCGAGCATCGAGCCTGAAATCTTCTGGGCGCAAACACGTAATATCCTCTAGAAGCAGAGAAGACACTGAACGGAATGAAACGTTTCCTTCAAGAATCGGTGCTGTGGGAAACCGCCAAGCAGAAAGAACTAAATTGACATTAAAGGCCGCGTGAGCAAAGGGGCCTTCGCACAGCACTGGAAAGATACCAGGCGAGCCTCCAGGGGGAGCGCGTCCTGAAACTGAGGTGCCACCACGGAGAAGGCCATGCGCCTTGCTGCCCCTCCACCTCACATCTGCGAATGGAGGACGACTCGGAGCTGATGGTCTTATCGGGCTGGCAGGAGCAGGAGCAAGAAGACCAACGTTCCTTTTGGTACCCCAAGTCGTTCAGGGCTTTCAAAGTGAGATCCAGATTTCCCCCAGCTCCGCTCCCAAAATGCTTTAACCGGAGATGCCAGAGTACAAACTTGGAACTCCGCCACTTGAACAACTGTCCTTTTCCCTGTAGGGGGCAGTACCGCATACCCAGCTTAACCACTGCATGCGGTGTTTGCAGACCCTGGGAAGGACATTGGAACCTGTGTTTGCGCACGTGCCTCTCCAGAGAGCAGTAGCTCACCGTGACGGGGGGAAGCATTCGTTGGAGCATCCTTCATTCTTGCTGGGCACACAGTCCCAGCGGAAGGTTCCATGCCTTGGGCAGCCAAGGGATTTTCCATCCCTCTTCAAAAGCCCGAAGAAGCTCCTGTTGATTCCAGTAATAAATCACACCTCGGGCCATGAAGAGCTCGGAACATTTCCAGGAGAGAGAGAGAGAATGGTGTGTGTGGGGGGCCTCTCGTTTGCGCAGCTGTCGAAGAACGACACCAGACTTGCGCTCACGTCACCAGCTAGGAAAGCACGGCAGGCATGAGCGGTACTGTGCTCCGAGCGTTTTCGGGATAAAGGAGCAGGGCAGAGGGGAAAATTCTGTCCCCATTTGCAACATCCTCTGGCGTTTCGGATGCCGCAGATGGTTTGGCAAGGGACTTATGTGTGCACAAAGGCATGTCACTGTCCCGGCACCGATGCCAGCAGAACATCTCACTGGGGACAAGGGACGGGACACCTTGTAGCATCCGCCACTTGCAGGGCTACTGGGGGAAAGATACAGATCAACTTTGGAGGGTCGGCAGGGGAAATGGGGATTGCCAGGGGTCATTTACTGCAGGAGCGCACAGGAGCGGAGCTCCGGCAGTAAAGAGCCCAGGGGGCGGGCACATGCAACAAGGCCCGCCCTCTGCTCCCAGCAGCCCCTGGCTACAAGGAGCAAGAAGCAGCCAGGTAAGTTGCATAGCCCCCCCCCCCCAAAGTTAGCAATCCAAAACAGTCCAGTGGCACCTTTAAGGCCAAGGTTTTTTCAGGTACAAGCTCTCCCTCCTCTGTGAGGGCAGATCTGCACGTTTCCCCCCCACCCCCAACTAGCAATCCAAAAGAGTCCAGTGGAGCCTGAGCGGTGGGTGTTGCCTTCTGACACACTTCCAGTGATGCCAGGGGGCGTGGCATATTATTTATTTATTTATCTATCTATCAAATTTATACCCCGCCCTCCCCCAAGCTATGCTAATGAGCTCCTGCACCCCTTTTCCTACAAAATTACCCCTGGGGATTGCTAACAACGAATAGGGTCGCGGTGGCTCAGAGGTTAAGACGCTGAGCTGCAGACCGGAAAATCTGTAGTCCAGCACTTCGAGACCCGAGTGCCATGTGACAGAGTAAGCGACCGTCCTTGGTCCCAGCTCCTGCTAACCTAGCAGTTTGAAAGCGAGAAATTGCAAGTAGATAAATAGGTACCGCTTCGGTGGGAAGGGAACGGTGTTCTGTGCGCCACGGCGATTAGCCATGCTGGCCACACGACCACGGAAACATCTTCGGACAGTGCTGGCTCTTCGGCTTGGAAATGGAGACGAGCACCACACCCCTAGAGTCGGATTCGACTGGCTTTCGAGCAAGGGAAACGTCTACCTTTACCTTTAACAAGGAAAAGTGCTCTCTGTCCGTACGGCAAACATGCAACTCCTGCACATGATGGCACATGAGCGGGTTTCTAGCCGATTATGTGCGAAGCGAGCACCCAACGTTCGTTTGAAGACGGGCGTTTTAATGGTTCGCCACAGCTGTCCCACACTTAAACGGCTAGTTAGCAGTCCGTATGCTAAAGAACTGCTTAGCCCTGACAGTGCCTATCAACGTTTTAGTGCTCGGGCTAATTCCAGCCTCGATGCCCCCTGTCAGCACCAGACAGCTGAGAGGAAAAGGTGCGGCCTCTCTCAAGTTAGCGGGACAAAATTTGGTACTCGTCAGCAAACTTGGGATGTATGCGATACTACCACTGGAGACGGCGTACGGCGTTCGGCATTGCGAGAGCCAGAGGGTTCCCCCTATGCATAAATCTGTCTGCTAACTGACGTGAGGCAAAGTAAAGATTGTTTTCCACACCGTAAGGCCTAAGCCACAGGTCTTGCCTGCATCTTCCACCGTGTTGATCCTTGTAAAGTGTAGTTATGAAGCACACGTGAGGCTAGGTCATTGTGCTAGTTCAAGCGGCCCCAACATTTTTGAGTATGAGGGCATCTTTGGGATTCTGATATGGGGTGGTGGGCACAATCACAAAATGGCCGCCGTGGAAGGCAGGCCACAAAATGGCTACCATGGGAGGTGGAGGCAACCTCACAGACAGAGGAAGTCCACATGCAAGGGACAAGAGGAGTAGTTATTTTAAAAAATACACTGGGAAATAAGAGTGAGAGAGAGAATAAAACCAACACTTTAGAAGAAAAGAAGAAGAAGAGATTGGATTTATACCCTGCCATTCACTCAGAGCGACTTACAAACCCCTTCCCCTGCCCTGTGAGGTACCGTGTTTCCCCAAAAATAAGACACTATCTTATATTTATTTTTTTCTCAAGAAGACACACTAGGGCTTATACCACAAATGCATAGAAATCCTGCTAGGGCTTATATTTTGGGTAGGTCTTATTTTCGGGAAAACAGGGTAGGTGGGGCTGAGAGAGCTTTTCCGAGGACAGCTCGTGAGAGAACAGCTCTGAGAGAACTTGTGACTGACCCAAGGTCACGCCAGCAGCTGCACGTGGAGGAGTGGGGAATCAAACCCGGTTCTCCCAGATTAGAGTCCGCGCTCCTCACCACGACACCAAACTGTCATGGCAGCTGCCAATGAAACAGTGCTGTCATAATCTGCACAGCCAATCAGATCTCCAGATCGCCAATCAGAAGCCCCACCCACTTTCTAAAAACACTTGGTGCCATGGGCACCATATTGGGTATTTCTGTGCTACCTTTTCCCCTGCTGCCTCATCTGCATCACTGGCCGCCACTAGTGG